TCAATACCTAAAATGATTTATCCACCAAAATGTAGCAAAATGTGGCAATTTCCTTATTAGAAAATTAATATATTCATGCATAAAAATTTGTATTTACAACAAATTAGTGCAGCATACTCGGTTAAAAATTTAATTTTGCTTATCTTATAAAAATATATATTTATACTTTGAAAATTTTTTTTGAATAATCGTATGCGAAAACTTATCGCCGTTTTAGATACAGGTGATTTGTCGATCAATCAAACGAACAATACAATTATCGATATCAAATTCAGTAAATTCGGTAAAGCATCCAAAAAAATCGATAATGTAATATTTTAATTAGTAAATTAAGAATTATTTGTACTGTATTTAACAAACTTTTTTTTATTATTAAAACTTTATGAAATTTATTAACAAAAAAAAATCCGTGGTAACGCTGCGCCACATAAATTTAAATAATTATACTACTATTTTTTACTAAATAAAAAAATTTTTTACATTTTTTTGCATTTCTGTGAATTTCTGGATTAAAAATAAGTACTCAAAGAGAAAAGAAGTAATGAAAATTTTAATTACAATTCTATAGTCCAAACCAGTCTTCCATTGCAAGCTAAGAGATGAACCATAGTAAAATCGGATATACTTTTCTTGTAGCCAAAAATGTTTAGTGACCTGATCATCACTACGCTAAAATAGAAAATTTCTTCTCTGAATTTCGTTGAACTAAACGTAACGAAAATTAAGGGTCACACAATTTAAAAATTTATTTATACAAGTATTCTAAACGTTAATGATTTACATGTATTTTTTTATTATTATAGATCTTAATAATTAATTTCCGCTTTTCTTTCTTTGTTGAATTACTTTGTAATTATAGATAACTTATAAAGCGGACAAAAAATGTGAAAAAGGTAGTATATAAATTCTGAGTAAAATTATTAGAAAAATTTAAAATCGGTCGATCAAAAACGGTCGGTTTCTAATGTTCGGGTTTGTTTTTGAGAAATTCGAAAATATAGATTCATTTATGTTTATTCTTACGAGTAAAAAAGGGAAGATCGTGACAATAAAGAAAAAAAAATTATAATTATAGGAAAATTAATTTTTTTTTATTTTTTTTTTTAAAAAATAAAAAATATCGAATTAATGAGTTGCATTCTAAGTTCATAACTCCGAATTTTATTCCTGATACTGTCTCTTTCATGTAGCACACGTTTTTCAAGAAAAAAAGAAAAATATTAGCAACAGTAAAATAAAACCAATATATATACTTAAGACGCATTAAAATAAATTCAATTAATAAATTAAAATGCATCAAATTGAAAGTTTAATATTAATATTGAAAAAAATAAAAACGTATAAATAAAGCGAACGGACAGTCAATTGCAAATAAAAATGTAAAATAAGCAAATTGTTTTCTTTATTTATTACAATTATTTTGTACTATAAAAAGAAAATACACATAGATTGCTAAATAAAAATAAATTGATTACATAAAATATTAAGAGAATAGGAATTTAAAATTTATTTATTTCATCTGCTTTCTTTTGTTAAATATCGTCTAACAATAGGAATGAATATCATCATCCTTTCACATTCAAAAATAATAATGTTCTTGAACACTTAGACGAATTTGTAAATAAAATTTTGGGTTATTGCGCAAACTTTTTATTCCCGACAAACATCAATGATTATTCATTGCAGTTATAGGCAGTGATGGAAAATGACCAGGCTATTTGATAATTTTAAATGAACTCTGAATGACTATCGAATGACCTAGTCATTTGAGGTCATTTCGGTCACTTGCCATCACTGGTTATAGGAGTTCTATCATCATCAGGAACCATCAGGACAAAGTAATCACGATAACCGATACTTCTTATTCACACATAAACCACGTAATATTGGCATTTTGTACTATTGATTATAACAGCGAAAATTTGTTTATATAAAAAATCCTATTTATTTACTATATACATATAATCTAGAATATAATATAAATAAATAATATTGAGTAAGTATCACATGTGACGCAGAAATTTTTGAGAATATTATCATTCACTAAAAAGCCTCAAATTATTATCAAGAGAATGTACTATTTAAAGCAATTTCAGATCTAAGAAAGAAAGATTCAACAGTATTTCTAATAAGTTTGGTTAGGATAAAAATTCATGTAATGTAGATAAGATTTTTATTAATCCATGTTGCTCTTGATGTACAAGAATTATGTTTTCTGTAGTGGGTTCAACCTTCACGACCATAATTTGATTTTAATCTTTAACGCAAAATACCAATCATCAAATAATCTTCATAAACAGATGAATAATATTACTTTACCAATATTCTTTTATTCTAAACCAAATTTATAATAGGGGTGACGATAGAAGTATGAATGATTGTGAAGATCTTATGGTGATAAAGTGGAAAGATTAACTAGGGAAACGTTCTATATTGATCTAAAAAGTGAAATTACTATTAAAATTAGACATCTGCATTTTTGATGCGGTAATTTACCTCTTTTTTTTTATATATATAAAAAATGAGAATTAAATGAAAGAAGTTTAAGTTCGTTCGTTTCGTTCTAATAAATATGATAATTAAGTATTACCTCCTAATTTCGTAGAGATAAGATATTTTACGATTTGGACAATTTAATAATTTAGGAGGTTTGCTATTAAAATCGAGTTACGTACATAGTAAATCGTAACGTGATTTTAATTGCTTACCTCCCAATTTATAACAAGAATAGACAAGGGCAAGATTTTCTTATAAAAATACAAAGGATCCAACTGTTACTGCCTCATCCGTGCTCTGTAATAATAGAAGAGAATTTAAACTAATTCTTCCTGATACAAAAGTGAAACGAAGTCTATTTCAGTGCCGGTATATTAAAATCTTTGATCTAGAATTCTACTGCGGCAATTCTTTAAAATATTAAGGCTGGGTATGGGATAGTAAAAATAACCTGTGAGGTGAGAGTTGAGAAAAGAAACAAATTTTAAAAATACTTTTTTAAATAATAATAATAAACGTTGTTCACTTAGGAATTAATTATTGAAAAAGTTTTCAATTTGGTCCCTTTTCCCAGCATTATTCCCGATCTACCGGATCCAAAATGTCATAATGACGGAAATTTGATCGAAACTAGTTTTGCAACTTTTTACGTGCTTGATTAAGTATAAATGGGATGGGATAATAAAATATATTGGTTTTATCAAATGATTAAAAAAAAAATATTTACCTTACATTAAAAGCAGCACGCATAACGTTTTCTTCCCAATTACAAATAACTCGAAATTAATTTACCTATTCTATGGGTCTATTATCAAATACAGGATTTTAATATAAATGAAAACTATTATAATAAAAAGAAATGGATAATACATTTCGATAATGTTTCCAAACTTATATACTAAAGCAATCAACTCAAAGAGCATATCATATTCAGAGAAATTATAAAATACATCTCCGTTGTAGTAATAAAGTTGATCAGAAAATTTCTTAATAGGTTTCGTTGTTTCGTATTTCGCTTCAGTACGGCTGCGGAAATTCAATATTTCAAAGAATTTGGCTCATATTCAAAATAAAATCAGAGAAATGATCGAAAGCATTATAGCTATTGTGAAAACTTAATATAATAACTAATTTCTGAATACAGCGTTTATCATCTAATAATCCATTTAAGCTTCAACTTTAGAAATTATTTAAAGATATGGATCAGGTCTCCAACTATAATTAGCTTTTTTTTTAATTTAAAATCTTGAATAGTAAAATTTCTAAACTCACTTGAAGCCAATTTGTTATCTATACAATATATAACACAGCACTGAAAGGCAAATATTTTTTTTAATGAATGAAGGGTTTTAATCAAAATACTTTTTTAATTTATCATACTTTGGAATATAATACTCGCCAAAAACCATATCTTTAATATTAGAACATTGAATAACCGATATTAAATGAAAGATGTTGGTAATAAAGCTATTATGTAATTATTAATTTTGTTAAAGATATAATCTTAATGTTTCCTTGAATTATTAAATTTTGCATCGCAAAATAGCATAAATTAATTATACTAGGTCAGGTTTCGATTATCATATTATTAAATCTGGCCTATGCTGGGCAGATATTTTATTTAAGTTCGGACCAGATTAGGCTAACAATTTAATACTTACTTACTGTAATTTAAAAACTGGGCCGGATTAGGCTTCAATATTTGGACTTTTACTTTGGCTTATTTATTAAAATATTTGGCTTATTTATTAAATTTCTTCGGCTATCAAATTTTATAATATTTAATTTATGATAATTAGATTTTAAAATAAATTCCAAATTTCATTATTCAAATATGATCCTGCTAATTGTTGTTCAAAATTTGACTTTGATCACAATTTTTAACAATACCATTCGAGCAGTGAGTGGTTTTGAATTGTGTTAAAGTTTCAAAATAACTGATTAACATGATAAGATAGGATTACAGAAGAGTATTTTTGACAGATTTCATTTTTAAGATAACGATCTCCCATATTTCTTAATTACTAAGTCATAGATCTCCTTTTTTCTGAATTTCTCAAAAGAAACCCAAAATATATAGTCGTAGTAAAATAAATTGTTTTTATAATAGTAGCTTTGCCTAAAAATTTAAATATACAAAGAAATATTTTCTCAAGTTTTTTTTTATAATCACTATCTATTATTTGCTTTGTAGTAATTAAAAACATTATTATTTCTATTTTTATACTATGAAATCATCCAATTTAATTATATTTGTATTCAATAGTTATTTATTTTAATTTATTGGTAAGATTTATGATATCATGTGAAACAATTGTCATGAAATTATTCATGACCGTAAATTGTAATTGGTTGCTTCTTTAAAAAGCGAACAACCTTTTTTTGAAGATAGTTATCAACTTACAATCTTTGTATTATATAATTATGCGTTCACTAGTAATTAAAAAAATAGGTGCAGTTAGAGTTGCGCTGCACACATCAGAGTTTTAAATACGAGAAAAAAATCATATCATTAACTCCTCAAGAAGATATTGAACAGGCTAAAGATTTAGGAAATGTTATGGAGTCGTTGAGTCTTTTAAAGATTCAGGTTTAATACTCATTAAGGATTCGGGTAAATTTGGTAAGCTAGTTATTGAAGTATTAGAGCAACTAAGTTTCGTTAAAGAATTTGGTAAAGTTGGTAGGATAGTTAATTGAGTACTAGAGCAATCAAGTTCCGTTAAGGAGTTGGGTAAAGTTGGTATTTTGGTTATTTTAGTATAAGAGCAATTAAGTTCCGTTAAGGAGTTAGGTAAAGTTGGTAGTATAGTCATTTTAGTGTTAGAACATATGAGTTTTGTTAAAGAGTTGGGTAAAGTTGGTAGTTTGGTTATTAAAGTATAAGAGCAATCAACTTCCGTTAAGGAGTTCGGTAAAGTTGGTAGTTTGGTTATTTCAGTACCAAAGCAATCAAGTTCCATTAAGGAGTTGGGTAAAGTTGGTAAGCTGCTTATGCAAGTCCAATAACATTTGAGTACCGTTAAGGAGTTTGGTAAAGTTGGAAGGGTAGTTATTCTAGTATTACCACAATTGAGTAACGTTAGGGAGTTTGGTAAAGTTGGTAGGATAGTCATTTTAGTATAAGAGCAATTAAGTTCCGTTAAGTAGTTTGGTAAAGTTGGTAGGTTGGTTATTGCAGTACGAGAGCATTTAAATTCTGTTAAGGAATTGGGTAAAATTGGTAGGCTAGTTATTTCAGTAGAAGAGCAATTAAGTTCCATTAAGGAGTAAGGTAAAGTTGGTAGGATAGTTATTCGAGTAAAAGAGCATTTAAGTTTCGATAAGGAGTTGGGTAAAGTAGGTAGGACAGTTATTTTAGTACCAGAGCAATTAAGTTCCATTAAGGAGTTAGGTAGAGTTGGTAGGCTAGTGATTTGAGAATTGTTACAATAGAGTTTTGTCAATATTCGAAATCTTTGCAATCCATCTGAGGTATTTAATATGTTATCCTTATTGGTATCTGTAATAGTTAAACTATCAATTGTATCATAAATTAATGATTCGAAATTGCTGATCCTTCCTTCCATTTCATTAATAATTTCTTGATTAGCTTTGGTTATTTCTTCTTGTTTTCTAACCTTTTCTTCTAAATATACAATAATTTCTTCTTTGATTTTGGTTTCTTCTTCTCTCTCTCTAACCTTTTCTTCTAAATGGTTGAATTGTGAACAAATCCTTTCATTACTTTGTTCTAATTCCTTAATTCTATTTTCCAAGTCTCTTAGGTTTTTTTCTAGATTGTTCTTTAAAACCATTTTTTGCGTGCGATTAAATCTTGGTTTTTAATTTTTTAAAAAAAAAAAAAGAAACTGCATAAAGGGCTTATTTTTTCAGCCCTCGGTTAAACATTTCCCATATGTAAATGAATTTCCATAAATACTCTAGTTTAACCGGTTGATCATCGGTAACGTTAAAATTTCATAATTAATGAGATTTTCTTCAGAAATCGATTAAGAATTTATAGTCAAGTTTAAAATTTTTATGCATATTAGTGCAAAATCAAACCTGATGTTATTCAGGTGATTTGTCGATCAATTAAAACGAATTAAAAATACTGCTAATTTTATATAAAAAAAAAAATGTTTCATAATTATTTTTTAAAACAATATGAAACCCGTCTTTAAGTAATAAAAGTACATACAAAGAAGTACTAATAAAGAAGCAATATCTTCCAAATTTTCCGTCTAAAAACCAAAGATCTAAATAAAAAAAAAAAATAGAAACGAAAAAAGGAAAAATACTAATAAAATAAAATAAAAAGTATTACTTGCTGCAATGGTGAAAATCGTTAAAAGCACTAGAATCTCTGGGAAACTTGTATCTGAATCAGTTTTAGAAATGTTTATAAGCTACAGCAAAATAAAAAGGCTGATAAATAAGCATTAATAAGGATTAATTTTTGACAGATCAAATCACCTTTATACTTCGCGATCTAATACACAATTAAAGATTCTTAGGATGATTCATCAAATTCTTGATTCAATTTAATATTATTTATACTTAGCCATTTGTTTCAAACAGCATAACTCATTGGTTTTTATATAATATTCATAGATAACTTTCGAACTGGTCGAATTGACCGGATTATTTGATCCAAATTAAGCGTCGGTCGTAATTAAATGACTTCATATGCTTCATTCTAATAAATAACCTAATGTAATGTGTAAGACACAGTTTCATTTAAAATTTTCTTCGAAATTAATAATTATTTAAAAATTTTAAGTATAAAAAAAAAATATTAAACTTTCGAAATTTTCCAGTACAAATTTAGACATAAATATAGCTACGTCGAAAGTACTCATAATATTTAAGTGACTCATCAGCGCAATAAACTTAGATTATCAAAGTTTAGTATAGTATTATACGTGTGAATATTACTCAAAATCGAAGCAAAAACTTACCTGTTTTAATCTCATGTGAGCCCTAATAAAGTAGACAACGTGAAGAGAAATGTATTTGATTTTTCAATATTTTAATCTAAAGACACGTCTTTAATTCTTACTGAGCCCCAAAATCGAAATCTTGGATAGGTTCCATATTATCTGATTTTGGGTTGAAAAATTGAAAAAAGTATTGTTTAGCAATTTCTTTCAGAAATCTAGTAGTGTATTATGTGGAAAAAGTAATGGAACGTTAAAATAGAAAAGTATAGAATTCATCTAGCGGCCGGATTACAAGAGATAAAAGGAAACACATTACATTGACGCGAGACATTAATAAAATATTGAATAATTAATATTGGATTTTTATTTTGGTTCAATGCAAAGAACTTTGAAGATGATGACTTGTATTTCAGTCTGAAGAAAACTTGGTTAGATCTGAAATTGCTAGAAATGGTATATATTCTTGATAATAATTTGAGGCTTTTGGTGATTATAATAAAAATTGTTTAAAAAAATATTCACAGAAATTTTCTGCCACACGTCATACTCAATATTATATATTCTATGTATATAGTAAAATAAAAATAAATAGCAATTTTATATTTATATATAAATTTTCACAGTTATAATCAATAGTACAAAATATAATTAGGATTGGACTAGAAATCCTTGTTATTGTTAACAGTAGTTTGGCAAAATAATTTTATCACTTGGTTTGTGTGAATAATAATTTACTTTGTCCTGATAGTAGAACTTCTATAACTGCAATGAATAATTCATTGCCGGAAAAAAAAGTTAGCCAATGACGCAAATATTTATTTACCAATTTCGTTTAAGTGTTCAAGGATATTATTATATATGAATGTGAAAGGATGATGATATTAATTTCCTCTTGTTAGACGAGTTTTAACAAAACAAAGCTGATGAAATAATAAAATTTTAAATTCTAATTCTCTTTATATTTAATTTAATCAATACAGTATATCTCTATGTATGTACTTTTTATTATAATTGCAATAAATAAAAGAAAGCAATTTGCTTATTTTACATTTTTAATTGCAGTTGACCGTCCGTCCGTTTTATTCTTATACGTTGGAGATAGAGGAAAATTATTTACCAAAAATTTATTTTGTTAAATCATGTTCCAGCTTCAAAAAAAGTTAACTATTAAAATCAATAATAATGATATTTATAACCGTGAAGCTTATGTTTATAGGTAAATACTGTATATTGCAAAATTAAGAATTTTCTCGAATATATATGGGATTGCCGTGCCTCTCTGTAAGAAATACCTTGATATCGCTGACATTGATGGCGATGATAGTTGTTCATCTATACTTTCCGAGGGTTATCCTTATACTCAGCGCTAAGTTTATGTACCACTTAAATTTTCATCTTCCAAAAAATTATGGGAGCGAAATCTTTTGATTTCAAATTAGCCAACAATATTTAAGTTGACGATCATAGTTTAATACTATATCCAATTAAAACATTCAGAAATTTAAAACTGATTCTTACAACCGTATTATTAAATTATTTTAATATTAACTGAAACATACCAAAAAAATTATCTACTTTATTTTTTTTATAAATATTAATAAACACTTTTGTTCTTTCATATTACGAGGAAATCGTGGATAATGGTGGATCCGAGAAAGTCTTTTGTATGAATTGTTCATTTTATTTCCGTAAATTTGATAATTAGTAATTAACTATAGACATTCACCACGAAACAGTTCTTTCGTTTATGTATTTATAAACAATTGCATTTGTAATTAAAGAATATTGAAGTAATTATAACACTAATTTATTTAATAAATGTTAATTAATTAGTTTTGCCTCAACTTCGATTTATTAATCAAATAAACTACGCAAAATATAATCGAAAATAAAAAAAAATAATAAGCAAGAAAATTAAAACAACGCAACGAATTATACCGTTGCAATTGGAAATTATAAATTAAAAATGGCGAAGGCGATAATATCGCAAGGGAGAAAGGGAAAGGATTTAATGTACTGTGTATATGCAATATAAAGGAAGGCGTAGTGTTAAATAATACATGTTACTTCTAATATATATTTAAAATTTGGGGTCGCATTCAACTTACCGTTTTACCGACAATCATTTAACTGACAATAATTTGGACACTTGGATTAACGACTATCATTTTTACCGACATGGTTATTTCACCGACAAATAACAAAATTTTTTAAATTTATATTTTTTATTCGGTAAAATGATTTTCGGTTAATTAAACCAAACCCTAAAATTTTAATTAGCACAACATTTTACCCTAACGCATTGTCATCCTAACGATATGTTACCCTAACGACGTTATCCTAACAATATGTTGAAAATAAACGAATTTAGCGAAAGCAATTTATGGACTGAAATTTTGTCTCTTTGGGTAAAACTATATTAAATGTACGATATATCTTGCGTTACTTTAGATGCTATTTCTTACTAGAAAAATCATTCGTGATTTGCTATTATTGTCTCTATTTATTTATATTCTTTTCAACGTTTAATTTCAACATCATATGAATACTTGTTCTCCTTCATTAAACTATAAATTCAAGATAAAAACATGGGTTGGATAGTATGCCAACATATGGGAATCATGGATGCTCCAACATTCCTTATATTAAAAGAATATTTAAACTAATAAATTTTATTGGAAAAATTTAGGCAAAAGAAACTGTTGTAGCCCAAATGCGTTGATCTCCGAAATGCGCATTTCAGACAAAGCAATAATCACAATATTTATAACAAAAAGCTGTATTTATAAATATAAAAATAATATAAATTAGTAAAATTATTCAAATAAATTCTATCTTAATGCTATTTTATAGTATAAAAATAATATAAAAGATTAAAATTAATACTTTCTAATAAGCTAAATATATTACTATTAATGGTCTGTCAACCGATCGGTCAGTCAAAGGCCTTTGACCTACCGCTGACCACCCATTACTATTGAGTGTTGAAGCCGTGATCCCGTGACTGCGCTAAAAATAAGTCATGTGATCCAAATGATCGACATAGTTGACGAAGTTGACAAAGTTGCTAAAGTTGTCAACGTTGATCAAGTGGACATATTAGGTAAATGAATTATATTTATTATATTTATTAATTATATCTTATATATTATATATATTATATTTATCATAGTTATATTATTTATTCTCTTTATTATATTTGTTATAGTTGATTTTATATTACTTTATTTTATATAAATATCTTGTATTTTCCCTTGAGTTGAAAAGTAACTCAAGTTAAGGTTTTAGGATAAACCAAGA